GTAGAAGTTGACAGGACATCAGGTGGTTCCACAAGAGAGGAGCTTGATAACTGAAAGCTCTGCCTCCCATTTTACTTTTAGAAACTCGAGGAACCACAAGTAAACCTGCAGTCTGAGAGTGAAGTGCTCTGTTAGGAAAATATGGAACAATAAGATCTTTAATATAAGCTGGAACTTAGTTGTTAAGAACTGTGTAGAAGAAATACAGTATCTCCTGCTGTATTAACTCTCATCACATCTCTGGTAGCAGCATTTTGGATCAAAGTAAGACTTTTTTTAAGCTTATTGGACATCCAGATAATAAAGAATTAAAGCATGCCTACAAGTAATAAACATATCAGCCAGGTATTCTGCATCATTTCAGGACAAGAGCTAATCTTACACAAGTGGAAGAAGAAGGTCCTGGTAACATTTTTAATATGGAGGTAAAATTATGTATATTTTTATATTAGAGCTGGAGAACAAATTAATGCCATCCAGAGGAAAAGGCTACAAAATATGTTCCTCAGTAACTTCAATACAAAGTATTCCATATAAACGTTCTTTAATCAGTTCTTTTGTTTCAGGACAGGCATCAAAGAAACAAGTGAAAATGACAACATTCAGCCTTTTTAATAACCTCACTCTCACCCACACACACAGTCCTCATCACACACACGCTCGCCAACTTTCACACAATCAGCACCATGTTATCATGTCCTAACTTTCTCCTTTACTTACGAATGATCCTCAGCAACAAACGAAGGTATAATTCAGACAATTTTATTAATGATGTGTTCAGATTTTGTGTACACTTTGTGTGAAGATTCGCTCTAACAGTACACCATCAGAGCAACAGATCCAGAAAACAAAAAATGCAAATTATCTTCTAAAGACAAAATTTTAGACCCAATGACACAAGGGCTGAGAAGAATATTTGACCATAATGTTCAGAGTACATCTCCTAATTCTAAATCTGTTCAGAGGCGGATAATCCAACCTTATTTTCATTGTCAAGAACATTTTGCTCCAAATAATAAAAGGTATTTCTCAATAAGGACACAGAGAGAGAGACTGCAGATAGTCAATACACAGCTTATTACCAACCCAGTAAGTGTCCTCTGCTGTGAGGGTTGCTGCATCCCTCCATCCACATCAACACAAAACACATGATGCCATTTCCATTCAAACCTCCAAAGTCACCGCAGCTTACACATCGACACGTCAGGCAAAAATCTCTGCAAACTTCTGTGTGTGTGTGTGTGTGTGTGTGTGTTTGCATAAACCTACCTGAGACAAGGTGCACGGCTAATGCAAAGAGACTGTGCTGTTTCTGAGCGCAGTGTTGTACTGGCAGCTCTGCCTGTCTGCTGCTGACTCTGATTGGATGCTGCTGAAGGAGGGGTGATGCACAGGAGGCAGCCAATACTCGGGCTTTCTCTAATGAACGCACACTCAGGCAAAGAAGAGCTAATTCTGCTCACATACACACACACCCACTGTAGCACTAATATGAGCCACCTGCTACACATTTCAATATAATTAAGTTACAACCCAAATATGAATAATGTGGGACATGGAATAGTAAATATAACAGGCATTATGTGTTCAGGAATGCTGAGTCAGCATTCAGAAAATTGTATACTTGTTTGTTTGTTTGTTTTTCTTTTAAGTATTTTGGACTCTTTCAGTAAACATGTTGTTGAGCAACCTCAGCTGACTTGTTTCAATGCAAAGGAGCAGCAGCTCCACTCCGATGACGGAGCTCCTCACCCAATCCCCAAGGCTGAATCCTACAAAGGAAGATTAATTTGGTCGATTGTATCTGGAATCTTGTTCTTTCAGTCATGATACAAATGACCACAGGTGAGGGTTGTAAAGTTGACAGACCAGTAAACTGAGAGTTTTGTCTTTCACCGTCTTTCTTGTCCAAAAGACCTGGAGGGAACCATGGTCTCTGACTTAAAGGAACTGACTCTCATCCCAGCCATTTCACACTTGGCTGTGAAACGCCCCGTGCACGCTGACGGTCTTAGCCTGAAGACGCTAACAGAATCACATCATCTGCATACAGCAGAGATTAAACCCTGTGGTTCCCAAACCAGAACCCCTCTTCTTCAGGGTTATGCTTTGAGTTAATGAACTACAAACAAGATCAGAGACAACGTATAGTCATGGTGGATTCCATCTTAAGTATCTCGGGGTCTTGTTCACRAATGAGGAAAGAATGGAGTGGGAGATCAGGATTCAGGATTCATTTCTTGTCACATTCAGGTTAACAAGAGTCAACAATGTAAAGAAATTCTTAGGATGAGAAGAAACTGTTCGACACTCTATAAAGAATAAAAATAAAAATAACGACAATACAGAATACAAAATTCACAGTTTGCAGTAGATGCACAAAGAGTACAGAGCCTTGTGAAAGTATTCGGTCCCCTTGAACTTCCAAACCCCCGCCACACCTCAGGCCCCAAACACAAAGATACAAAATTGGGGTGTGCAAAATTATTTGGCCCCAGTTTAGTTGGCTCGGGCATCTGGTTAGGATGTCTCCTGGATGCCTCATTGGTGATCGATAGGCAGATTGGTGCTGCGTCTGTAGTGATGCAGGCGCTGTACCGCTCTGTCGTGGTGAAGCGAGAGCTGAGCCAGAAGGTGTTCCAACCCTCACGGACCGTGGTCACAAGCTTTGGGTAGTGACCGAAAGAATGAGATCACAGATACAAGTGGCCGAAATGAGTTTCCTCTGCAGGCTGTCTGGGCTCTCCCTTAGAAATAGGATGAGGAACTCAGTCATCCAGGAGGGACTCARAGTAGAGCCACTGCTCCTCCATGTCGAGAGGAGCCACTTGAGGTGGCTCAGGCATCTGGATGCCTCCTGGACGCCTCCCCGGTGAGGTGTTCCGGGCACGTCCCACTGGGAGGAGGCCCAGAGGAAGACCCAGGGCACACTGGAGGGACTATGTTTCTCAGATGGCCTGGGAACGCCTTGGGATTCCCCCAGAGGAGCTGGCCCAAGTGGCTGGGGAGAGGGAAGTCTGGATCTCTCTGCTTAGGCTGCTCCCCCCGTGATCCGACCCAGGATAAGCAGAAGAAAATGGATGGATTCCAACCTGCACTGAGAATGAGCTCAACTTTGTGTCAAGATTGTGGACACAGTTCCTGCTTTGGTACAGGAAGGGGATCACTCAGACCACACTCCATCCTCCCGCAGAATCCCCTACAGAACTCCTCAAGGACCATGATCATAAGCCTTCTCCAGGTCCACAAAACACAGGTAGACCACAGAGGCAAACTCCCACGACCCCCTTAGCAACTCTGCAGTGTAAAAATATGATCTTATGTTCCCCGACCAGAACAGACGACAATCGATCATCAGAGCCTCCCTTCCAACACTGTGGCGTAAACTTTTCCAGGAAGGCTTAGAAGTGTGATCCACCATAGTTGGGACACTCTCTTCTGTCTCCCTTTTCAAAAAATGGAACCACCGGTTCTGTCACTCTGCAGGTTTGTCCCCATCCTCCATGCCTCACTAAAGAGACACGACAACCATGACAGCTCCACAACATCCAGTCTTCAGCTTCTCAGGATGAATCTTGTCCACCCATGGTGCCCTGTCTAAAAACCCTTAAAGTTTAAAGAGCCATTTTAACATTCACACTGACTAATGAATGTAAAAAACAAAACAAAAACAAAACAAAACCTCCACCTAAACTGTTGTTGGATTTTTAGATATTTTATCTATTCTTACGAGCACTAGAGAACTGTAGAAATCTCACAATGTAATTTTTCCTAGCGTTGATGTAATTATGATTATCATTAGGTTTCATTCTGACAGAATGTTATTTTTACAGAGGACTTTCTAAAAATTTAAATGACCCTGAGAAAGAAAAAGACCCCATCGCTCTGGTTTAATGTATTCTGAAAAATGGAGACAGAATCACATAATAAGTCTTAGTCACAGTGATACTGGATGGCCATGGATCTTTTCTTCGCAGGTTTGTTTTGTGTGAGATAAATTGATGTTATGTAAGTGTTTTTTTTCTAGTCCTCTCTAAGTTGTCTCCTTTTTTTTGAATTGCTCAGGGACACAGAGGGAAAGGAAGAATCCAAGGACTGGTGCTTTACATCAGCAACCAATCACCATCATATCTTCAATAATTCGGCTCTGAATGTGTCTACATGTGATGTCTCATTCCTATTTTGATTTGTACTTTCAAAATGTATCACATATATTCATTTGATTTAATACAAACACTTTAATCAAGGTTTTTCCTTGCACGTGTGAACTTTCTTGTCCATTCAAAATACAAAATATATTATGATCTACTGGACATATTTTAATAAAACTCAGAGTAATCATTAAGTTCACATCTACAAGTTCTTAAAATTTCTTAAGTTTAAAAAGTGGCCAACACCAAAATACTTGTAACTCAGCACATTTAACGAATATTACCCTAAAACCTGGTGTGGTAGTTGAGCATTATCCTCGTTACTCATTGTGCAGCAATTTTGCTTAAAACCTTGCTATTAACTTTTAGCACTGTTTGATTGTTAGAAAAACATCTTGTGACTCGCTGAACCTTATAAAGAAACTATCAGAAAATATTAGTTGGGTGAATATCTACTGATTATATTTTGRAAGCACCCCGATTGAAGAAAACAGACTCAGTTTTATAAATAATGCTTTGTGTGACAGCTGGGAGTCATTCACAACACATACTTGAAGTGCTAACTGCTCACACAAGCTTTCACAAGATTGCACATAACAGAAATGACAAGATTTGTCTAAAATGGCTTTAACTTTCTAATCAAAAGAAGWTCTTAGTCTAAAACATTGGCATAAAGTCAATGGGTGATATGTATTCCTTCAGGAGACATAAGTAACCTTAATTATTTTATAAATAAGTTATGTAAATGTTCGCTTTAGTAGACAAATAAATATCATGTTTTCTAAGTTGTGTTGATATAAAGAGTAGCAATTACTCCTTGGGCACTACTGATAAAAACTTACTGCAACATAAGCAGGTAAACAGACCTTTTATTTCAAAGTAAAAGCACAAAAGTTAATTTTACAAAGTAGCAGTTTTCAAACAAATATAAGATTAAAATATTTATAACTGGAGTTAAAAATAGGCCCTAGAAAGATCTATACTTTATTAAGTTTCTAAATGGCAACAAACAGTTTCATAAAATAACCATAAATTTAAGGAAACTTGACAAAGATCCTCACAGATCTGAAACTTTCTTAATCAACAGTACACTGGTACATGAAGCCAAATGTCCTGCTTGTATTCATTGTTTTTATACATCAAAACACTTAATTCAAACAAATCAGAACTTAATAATATACCAACAACAGGACTGCTGTACAGCTGTGAGACTAAAAGACTAAAGTTAGAAACTCTGCCATAAATCACGGATTGTAATAAAAATTCAAGATTTTTTTCAAATTGTTTAAATTCAAACATGTTCTCAGTGTGAGAAAATGTTCACAAGAAAATGAAACTAAGCAAAAGGCCACGTGATGAAGTTTCAAATGATGAATTCATTTGATTCATAAATTCCTCACTAAAATTCTGATTTTAACAGAGAGGATACCCACTAACAATCATATTTCCAAAAGTTGGTTGGTTTTTAAATCCTCATGGGCTTATTCTTATTGGGCAACGACTCAGGAGGAGTTAACAGAAAAACACACAGGCTCCATTTAACAGACTGGGTCTAATAAGAGTTTTACAGTTTCACCAGAGGGTGGCAGGAGAGTCTTTATCATCTGAAAAGGCAAAAAAGACCGGAAGGAAGGAAGGAAGGAAGGAAGGAAGGAAGGAAGGAAGGAAGGAAGAAAGAAAGAAAGAAAGAAAGAAAGAAAGAAAGAAAGAAAGAAAATAATTTGTCCTGCTGTTTTTGTTTCATCATATAGTTGAACAGATCTTGTTCGTTGTGTTGCTGCAGGTGTTTGCAGGCTCCCTCTGGCTCCGCCTCTGTAGATAACAACCTTGTCTTCCTGTCTTGTGAGTGAACGTGGGCTTGTGAAGCTTTAGCTCCTCCCAGKTTGGCAGGTAGGCTCCTTCTGTGACGTCTTCCCCACCTGTAACCTCGGCTCTACCCACTTCKGGTTGGAAGACTTTGCTCTTGCATCCCTCCGGGTGGAACGACACGTGTTCCTCTYGGCCCCAGCTGCCAGCATCGTCTTCGTCCTCACTGTTACTTATCACAAGCAGCTCGGCTTGAATGTCTTCCTCTTCGTCCGCGGCGTTCTCATAGCCCATGAAGATCATTGTGATGGATTCTGGTTTGGCTTCATGTGGCAGGACGTGGTTAACAGAGGCAACGTTCTCTGTACAGATGGGTCTGTTCAAATCAGCCAGGCTTTCTGTTAAAGCGCAGGAATGACCTTCAGATTTGTTGCCRACTAAACGTGGATTGAATCTGTCTGAAGTCTTGTAAACTGGTTGAATGGGTGCAGGTGTGCCTTCAGATCTGACTGTAAATGGGACAGGAGATGGATCAGGTTTCCTGTTGGTAAACGTTGGCGTTTTAGCACCAAAGTTTGACCATGGAAGAAGTTTCTTTTCATTCTTCAACTGTCCTGAAGTATTAAAATGGAGCAGACTGTCATTTGCATCCTGAGTATGAGCACCGGAACTGGAAGCTTGTTGGATTTTTATGGGAAGATTCTGGTTTTCCGCAGCAATTTTTTCTTTGAGTTGCGTTTGCGATGGTGTCCCTGGTGTCGATGGTCTGGTTCCCATGTAGGGTTCAGAGTAGACAGGCTGATGGTAGTGCACCTCAGTGTGCACCTTTTCCTCTGTGGCCTCATTCAGAAGTTCCTCCACCTCAGTCTGTGTCATGTCTCTCACTGCACAGTCGGCTGTTTGGTCCCTCTCAGACTGCAGTGCAAACACAGATTTGTGGCCATCATCGAACACCTTCAGCCCTCTCTCTGGGATGAATTCTGGACTCACAGCCTCTGTGGAAAGCACTTGGCTTTTGCCTGTTTTTTTGTTGAGCTCTACGTTGATTTTAATTGCAAAAGTTGCTGAAATGGAGAAAATAAAAACATATTTTAAGAACAATCTTTTTATTTTTAATCAAAATATGTGTCTGTCTCTCCTTAAGGCCTGGATTTGCTGACTGTGCAACATCAACCTTTTGCTCCATTCTTTTCAAAAATCACATGTACATACAATATGTTTTAAAAAAACAGACAGCCATAACTCTAGAGCCGTAAGACTGCAATTAAAATATCCCATTCTACTTTCCCTTACCTACTCTGGACTAATTATTTAATCAGTCTTGTGGGTGAGAACACCATTTAGCTTTAATGTTTTCAGTTAAAGATTATCATGACATTTATATAATTTGCTGAGTTGAGAAGTACCTCAAAGTGATACTTGAGTAAAAGTACAAGTATCTTGCCATAAATTACTTTGGTAAACATTAAAGTCTCCTAATAATATTACTTGAGTAAAAGCCTAAACGTATGAGATGTATTAGACTTAAGTATCAAGAGTAAATTTCTCATATAAAGTACATTTAAGTATTAAGTAAGTATTGAGTAAAAGTGAGTGGTAAGAATGTCCAAAATTACATTTATTGGGAGGTGACGTCCCAAAAAAACATTTTCTAAAAGTCATAATGATTATAAAGTTATATTAAAATGTTAATGTTAAAAAATGTTGGATGTAGTGTACCTGTTTCAGCTGCAGATATACAGTAAATCTCCACCATGATCACAGGCTAGTAACAAAGTATTTAGTTTCTTTACAACTCTGATCATTTGTTTGCTCTACATTAACTGTATTTAGTCTGTTCTGTTGTCGTACCTTTTTTCCTTTCATCTCTCTCAGRACCATAAACTGCAGATGTTTTAGCTTTGACCGGTGGAGTGAACAGTGGAGCATCTTGGACAGGCATGAGGTCATGCTGTGGCACATCTAGGAACAAAATAAGTGAAAGCAGCACAAACAGTCATATTAGATGAAGTCTCCAGTTTAAAAACATTGCTTTACCAAAAGGATCAAATGATTACTTCATAAACTTTATGTTGCTCAGTTAAGTTTTAAGCCCATTATTTCCACATATTAAAATATGTTTATGGTGGAAACAGATCAAACTGATTGGATTCTTGTCACTGTGTGTCAACAGGAAGGTGAGCCAAGATGTAAAATGCAAAATTTAGTGAGTCACGTGCAGCTTAAATGTCAGCAGGATTACAACCCCATATATTATCACTKTAAGGTGACAGCGAAGTGCTCACCTTTAGGTGACAATACACGATTATTGATGCATCCAGATGCATTTATAATCATTTTATAATCACATCACAGCTCTTTTAAACACAGTCTGTGGGGTGTATTCACATCCCCACCTCTACATAGAAAATAGTGACTAAATGTCAAATAATAAAAGTGGAGCAGCTTCAAGATTGAATTCATACTGAAGGAGGTTGTTTTCACTTTCTGATGGAGTGTAGAGAGAATATTTGAGCTTCAATCAAGTTAATGTGTTTCTAAGAGGAAGTAGATTTTATTTAACTTATAATTATTTAAAAATAATGAGCACTAGAAATATGAGAAACCAATCAATATGAAAGAAAATAGGATCCAAAAGATTCTCAACACTGTATTAAACATTATGAACACTAAATCATTAGCAATAATATTTTCATTTTAAACAGTTTCAAATCTTTCACTATATTCTTGCAGCCTAATTGAACATTTATATTAACATTATTCATATTTACTTCAATAGATGTCTCGTATAGATACAATGTATAAATAATGAACAAAAAATAGATTTTACCTGTCTGAAGCTCTGCGGTTAGGTCCTACACGTGAAGACAGAGGAGTTATAGTGGAAAGATGTCAACAAGAGAACAGCAGGGCAACACATCAAACGTGACTCTTTCATTGTTAAAGTCTGCACCTTTTTTCCTTCTTTTTACTGGGTCTGAATCCAGACGGCAATCAAAAGGCAAATCATGCAAATTAGTCCTTGCACTGCACACCCACCACGTGAGCAGCCCATTAATCTGCCATGTTGTACACGCCAAGCGTCCGTTTCTGAGCCGGAGCCCACCCACACAGTCCTGAGTGAGTGCATCTCGTTAGAAACAAGCAGAGATTAGAGGAGTTGCAGGCAGCAGGCAGTGAGTAGAAGACACTGAATAAATCAAAACAGCACGCGGTGTTTATCAAATTGTAAACCCTTAATGCGTGTCTTGGAAACTACACCATCTTTCTGTAACCCCTGAGAGCTTTGTGTACTCCTGAACACCTCATGGAGTCGACGGATTACTGCTGCAGCTGTTAGACACTGGTTTGTGACTCAAAATTATAAGAAAATTGAGAAAAAAATGGGAACRTTTTTAGGTACGGTCACTAAACATTCTCCACAGGTTGATATAAATGTTATTTTTAGCAGTCATTTCACTTTTATTAGGAGGCTTATGAAGAACTGTTCATTTTGTTTTGCAGACAGTATGTTCAAGCTCTGAATCATATTTCCATAATGTTGTATCCACAGTGTTAGAAAACTTGCTTGTTTTGATGTGGGATGGGCAGAAGGAACTGTTCACTATCGGATTTCCAGTAAAGCTGGTCGATCAGCAGTGGAGCTCCTCCTGAGCGGACTGTGAGTTAGCTGGGCCTTTAGCTCTACGTGTTTTATTCAAGCACACTAACACACTGTGCTATGAACACAGCTGATTTTTAAGAAATGACACACGAGTCGTTAAACACAACACTAAGATCTGTGTGCATCAGAAAGTCACGCTTTTGATATGTACCAAATTACATGTGCTGAAGTTGTTCCTTGAAAAATGAAATAAGGCAAGACAAACAACAGTATGGAGCCGGTCTGGTGACCTTAATGCAAGGTGACAAGATTTCGAGCAGACATGTCTATTTGTAAGAAATACAGACATTGTTGGAGTCAGATTATATATGAATACTTTGTTTTTGTGTTTTCCTGCTCAAATATACCCCACACTTTTTTATGGTGTTTAATCTACACCTCTATAGTTCACTCTGGTTTGCGTGTTGAGCTTCAAATAAAATAAAGCTTTTTAGAAAAAGACAACTCCAGTCGTCACCCTGGGTCTTGTAGCTGTAACATATAATGATAAGAATTACTCCATGCCTACCAGCAAGTGACTGCAATATGGCATTCTTTTGTTTATTAAAATTAAATTAATTAGGACTTGTCCATGTTACCAGTCAAAAGTCGTTGCATCTGCGATAATTATTTTGTGGCCAAACTTAGCATTATTATTATTTTTTGTATAAACAATTATTAATTGCCTTTGTATCAAAAGGGACACAGAATATGTGTGAAAAGTAGTTAGAACTTTGAACACTTTACGTTTGTGTCCATTTAAGGATTATGCCATGTCTGTTTTATTAATTCAAAAAAAGAGACTTTGCTTGGAGTTTTATAAAATCATACAGTGTCTGATGAAGAGTGTAATGAATGTCACAGATATAAAAATGAAATGTATTAAATGTAACGGACCCCCGGCTTTATGTGCTAATCATACCACTTCATTATAAAGACAACACAAGTAAAAATAAACATTTTTCATTTTATTATTACATAAATTTATAAGAAGAGTGAAACTAAACATTTTTGGTTGTACCTTATACCTTACAC